CTATGTTTGTACAATTGTATCAAATAGAGAAAATTCGGTACAGGTGTGCTTTCAATTAAGAAAATAACTGTACATGTACATTTTTTGGAGGTGGTTTTCCTGATAGAGAAAATAGTCCATAATAGGTCCGGTTCTATTTAGAATAGTAAATTTGTCGAATATAACAAAAAATCTGAATTCAGAAATAGCGCTACGAAACATCAGAGAACATAGAGGTCGTAAATTTGTCAGCATGTATGCATACGACACAATCAGGAACTAGTGATCTAATGTGCAACTACTAAATTTGTTAGCTCTACACATTGAGAATCAGCTGCAAAAAAAAAATATAGCACTGGAAGCCACTTTTGGTGGGGTACTTGTTTATATACAAGTGTACAAATTTTGGATGTGGATGACAATTTAAAATATTTGTTAACACAAGTCAAAATTACTCATTCACATTAAATGAAGTACAGCATTCAGAATACTCTCAGTGTATTTTTGTCAAAATTATCAATATTTTTTAAAAGCCCTGAAAATGTTTTTGCAATGTTGAGAGGATTATGCAAAAACTAATTTTTGGTGACAAAACAGAAATGAAAAGACGAATTTGAAATTGTAAAGAGGGTAAAGCTCTTTTTTTTCCATTGCAGTTTAGAAACGATGAATAATGGAAAATGTAACACAGCCTAACAGTTGCATATTTGATTATAAAATGAGTAATTTATTATATGTTGTTTTTCTTTATGTTTAAAATAATAATTAATTTTGAAATTTTAAAGACAATCTATAATTAAAGGAATAGGATAATAAATATACCAGTGCCAGTATTGGATTGAATCTAAAAGCCTAAGGGTTACAATCCAAAATATTAGGTTTAAACTAAACAGTCTTAAGAACTGGACGAAATAGAAGGTACAGGTGAGTACGGAAAGAATGTGAGCTTTCTAGGGTAACTACTAGCTTATTCTCTGTTGCACCCTTTGTTAAAATTGTTTCACTTAATAAATGTTTGTAATCAGTGCCGTGCAGACACTATATTATCCAGTAATTGTTTCCCAGTGTTTCCATTTCCCAATTCTACTTTGCACTCCTTCCCTGATTCCCTAAAACCCTTTCCCAGTTAGTATTGGTGTTGTTCCATGGTTTCCCAGGGTCAAGGTCCTTCCTGAACCACTGAAAATCACCACAGAGATCGTTTCCTTGTGGTGCTAACTATTGATTTTTTTAATCTTCCTTAGGGCGATCTGCTTGAGAGGTACACATTGTTTCAACCAGTCTCTAGCCATGTTCCAAGGATTCGAACCGAAGTAACGTTGCAAGGTGTGAAGGCTGATATTGATGCTACTGTTCAGACAAAGAAAGTCACTACAACTAAGCATACTTATGTTACCAAAAGAACTATTATGCACCCTGTAACTGGCGAGCCAATGACTATCGAGGAACCCTCCAGTGAGATTCCTGAGGATGAAGCGTCCTCCAATAACATTTACATCAATTCAGTCCAGAGTTCAAGCACTTGAAGAAGGTGCAAAAGTAGATGACCCTCACATGGCTCAAGAAACCACATATCCATATACTATGCAAGAAATTACTCATAGACCTTCCATTGAAGCTGAAACACCCAGAAAACGTGCCTTGGCAACCCAGGCACAGCACCCAGAAATCAGGAGGATGGACATTAAAATTGCATCAGTGAAAACTCCCCCCAGTA